TAAATATATATATATAATCTCTTGGTATCAAAAATTTTTTCTGGCTTGACGGGTTTCCGTTTTATTCAGGTTTTATTGTATATATATTCCGGTATTCCGGAGAGATTCCGGTAACGAATATTTTTACGCAGGTTTAACCGTATATATTACGGATGCGATTATTTCGTCCTCTGGTGTTCGAATAACATACTAAGCCGTAGTCGTCAGTTCTTTACCTGGAAAAATGGTTGATTGTAACGTAAATATAGGAAAATTTTAGTAAAAGGCAAAAGAATTAGCACTCTGTGTTAATTCGCATTTGCCAGAAATCGATTGTTTATTCATCAATGTTAAAAATGATTGCAGGTCAGTAGCTATAAGCTTATTTTCTTTTTAGTATATTGCAAATTGCTTGCAGAAAATCGTTTGGCAGTTCTGCGCTCCGAATGGGGGACGAATACAAATATTTATTTCAGTAATATTTTAAGTGTTTGATATTATTTACATTGACATCAAGTTTATAAAATTTTTTTTAAGGATGAATACGTAAAATAAAATACTGATAGAAATGCGTAGCCTTCTGGAGACATCATTTATTAAAATACTGTTAAAACGCACGAGATTGTAATCGATGCGTGATAAAAATTCATCCAAAATTACGATTTACAAATAGAAAATAAATAAAATTGTAATAAAAAAAATGTTAATGTTATTTACGTAATAGTTTATGTATCGATTTTGGACGAAATTTATAAGTATTTTTCTTTTAAGATTTAAAATTATATTTTTGTATGTATAATGTTGATTTCAGGTGTTCGGATAAAGCGAGTTTGTAGTGTTAGATGTAATGAATTTTATAAGTACAAAATTATATCTGATCAAATTACCGAACCAAAATGGTTTTTGGATGAAGTGTTTACAGTAATAGGAGGAAAAGTACAAGTACAATAATCACTACAGAATGAAAGAAATAGTAATGGTGCATAAATAATTGAATAAATATTAATGATAACTTAATATATATTTAGAACAGAAGTCTTAATCTGTACAAGAAATTTTTCCATAGCATCAACCAGCATGTAATACTGGGTGCATTGTCTAGTAAAGCAGCTTTAATATGGCTGGATGAACGAATTGAAGATATAATCGGTTTCAAATAAAGCAGATTATATCATTTGCATGTTCATCCAGCTGTATTAATGTTACTTTACTAGGCAACTTACTATGTCTACAAGATGATAAGTTAACTTGAATCAAAGGCTTGATTTTGGTTAACTTTTCATCTTGTAAACCTGGTTAACTTTTCTCATTTCAACATTTGAACATTATGGAGTTAACCTAATTTTTAGAATATTGACTGGAATTAGCTGTTTCAAGACACTCTACAAGAGTTAAATTTCTTTAAAAGGATTAGTGATATATGATGCTTTAGTGATTAGTAGTAATATAGAATTAACCCTCTGCTGGAATTAACAACTGGAAGAATGACATTGTATCAACTTGATTTAAGGTGCATTGAATGTATGAATGCTGTATATGCTGTATGAATATTGTATATTCTTCACCTATATTCTTGTTTTATCCAGTTAACTTTTCAGGATAAATCTTATCCTGATTAACTTTTATTATGTAAATACTGTATATTGTAAGGGTTGATGTTAATTAATACACTCATTGTCATAAAAATTAGTGCATGAAGAAGTTGTCAGAATCAAAAGACAATTGTACAGTACATATGTGAGTGTGACAGTGATATAAGTAAGTGATTACAAAATGAAGGCAAAAGGGTCATTTATTGCAGGAAAAACTACAAATAAAAGGAGGTTTTAGTACTCTGTTAGGCCATCTCTAGTGGTCCAACAGAGTACTAGAATCTTCATGCAGTGTATTTACACCTCTAGTGTGCTACACAATATGATATGGGTGGGCATGGAGGCATACAGGTGTTGTATGGTGTCCTGTGACACCTCAGTCCACAGTTGTTGCAAGTGGTCCTCTAGTTTGACCAAACTCCTAGACTGTCTAACTTGGCATCCCAGGTGATCCCAGACATGTTGGATTGGTGACAAATTGGGACTGGGCAAGCTGGGAAGTGTGGCAATGAGGTAGAGGCAGTCCTGTGACACCCTTGCTATGTATGGTCTGTTGGAAAATGGCTCTTGGAAACCCTACCATGATGTCACTAACCTACCACTGGGTTGTCACGGTCCTTGGATTACTACTAGAGATGACTGGCTATTGTATGTGATGGCACCCCAGACTATCACGCCAGCTGTGGGGGTGGTGCGCTGCTCCAAAGTGTAGGCAGATTGAGGCATTTACCACTGTGCCTCTAGACATGAACACAGTCGTCGTCAGTGCCCAGACTGAATCTGGATTCATTGCTGTAGACAACCCATTCATTCCATTGTGGTCCAACCCCATTGGGAGTGACACCATTCCAAATGGAGGTGATGTTAGCCAGCTATTAATAGTAGCACATGTAATGACTGCTGCAATACCAAATGTTCCTCACCTATGTGCCTTGAAATGGTACGGACAGACATGGGGGCCTGTAATGGTGGCACCATCTGTGTCCAGATGGTAGATAATGACACAGTTGGCTGTGTATGCTTCTCAGAGGTCCAGGTAGTGGTCTGCTGAGGGCACTTGAGCCTGGACATTGTGTGTTTAAGCTCCCCTCTTGCCCAGTGATCTCAACTCCTCACAGTTTGTTTGGGGCAATTGTCAGAATGGCCAAGGTCGGGTGGCCAACAGTTTTAGAACCTGGGCCGAATTGGAAAGAAAACTTTTTTCACGGGCCGAGCCAGAGGCTGCTCCAGGAAGATTTTGAGGTGGTATGAGATCTCATTGTGGTGTCACCCCATAGAGACTAAATATTACATAGAGATTACAGATCATTTTCTATAGAGATGCCGACGGGCTTTCGTCCGCTTGGAAATCTTTTTGCGACGAATTGGCATAATCTATATAAAAGGCTTAATCAGGCTTAGGATGATCGATGATAGATATTTTATTTATTTGTTTATTTGTTATTATCATTATTGTTTATTAAGTACACGAAAATTTATATATAGCACTTTCGTTTGTAACACGTTACATTTTTATTTTTATTTTTTTACATAACCGTTAATTGGAATTCCCGTTGCGTAATTTTTCGAATTTCATATTTCGAATTTATAGAATTAACTGAGGATGAACGCTTAATGCGTTTGAAAACGTTTTTAAGTTATTAAAGAATTTTGCTGGATAGATGAAAGGTTTTTATTTTTATTGAGATTACAGATACATTTTTCACATTATCATGCATTATCAACATTAATGCTGTGCTTAAGACATTTGTAATGGAGGGTTAACTCTAAATGCACAGTCAGTTGTTGAAATTTTTTTTTTTTAGGCGTCAGAATTTTTTGTCGAGATATTCAGATTTAAGTAGCTAATATTGAAAGATTAATCGTGGGCCGCATAAATTCATTAGACGGGCTGGATCCAGCCATGCCTGGCCTAGGTGGCAGGCTAGTCAGTGAGATGACCATCTGGCTTCTCTCAACCTGATTATCCTTCAAATTCTCTTTCAAATTTGATTAGTTGTTCATATGGTCTTTGATTGCAATGTAAAGGCATCTCTAGTGATACAGTGTCCCTTTGCAACAGGTAAACTACAGATAGGATGCTTTTGCATGCTTTTATAGTCCAGGGGGGATACACTTTAATACCCTGTGCTGGCATTATTCAATAAGCCATCAGGCTAAAACCCTAATCATTTCCATATCTGCTTGAGACTTATCTGCATGCCAAGTTTTGCAGTGATATGACAATTCTTTCTTGGTGCACTAATTTTTACAGTAATAAGTGTAGTTTGCCTTAATGAGTATGTTGCAGTTTGGTCTTAATGTCATACTGCATAAGTACAATAATATTTCACTACCTGGCAAAATATTTACTGTAAAACAATTGTTGTTAAGTTACAAATAAATAGAGGGAAAAAATAAAGATGTAAAATTTATTAATATAGTAGCTCCTTGTCATGTCATGCATGTAGGGAAACAAACCAAGTGAGTGATATATTAGATGATCTAATTTATTTATCCATTATCGGCTAAACTGCTTTAAATTTGGGAGACCAAAAAAAAATGATATATTCAAATGAGCAATATAACAAGATACTACTGTATAAGACAAAATTTCTTGGTATACAACATTAGTACTTTAATGAATTGGAAATATTACATTATGAATTTCACTCTCATATTCTGTATAGATAGATACATAGATATGATACTGCCCCTAGTTAATTCTAACAAAGACTAATATTAAGTGTTGTATGTCTCCTTTCTGGGTGACTCTTGTTTCTTTGAAAAGATTTGAATAACCATGTTAAATAGTTCCACAGTTAATTTGCATGCAGAAATGATTACCAAAGTCAATGAAATTTAAATGAACATAGTTTTATGTTTTGTTTTTTGTTTACATGTAATAATTCTTCACTTAGCTGCTATTTTATTCAAAAGAAAGAACTCAGTCTTGATCAAAATTTCATTTACAGTAGTCTTTCCATTCGTTCAAGATTGCATATTATTCAATACTAAAAGACTTACTATGACACCTTGTGAACATATAGCCCAAGTTTATTAATTCCAAACATTTTTGGTCATTTAACATGACAGAAAATGTTTGGAATTAATAAACTTGGGCTGCATGTTTACAAGGTGTCATAGTAAGTCTTTTATTAGTCTTTCCATTAATAATAAACTTAAAAAATTCAGAAATTAATGAAAATTAAAAAATAATTTGGAATGATTAAAACTCAAAGTTGTCCAGTATAAAACTGCTTCTGAAAACTCAAGAAGTTTTCAGAAGCATTTTTATACTGGACAGGGATAAGTTTAATAGCCAGAATGGGACCATAGCCACTATGGCCAGAGCAAAATTGAGTGCATTTTTTACTTCTAATTACTGTAAATGAAGATAAACCATAAAATTGATGCAATAAGGCTCATCTACATCAAATAAATATCAAAATGAAGTGTAAAACATAAATGTAGTTCATATACAAGTACCTTAATGAAAAATGGAAATAAATTTTTGCCTTAACATATAGTATATATATAAATAGGTAGTTTTGCCTTATTCTAAGACTGTAGCTTCTGGTTTCAAATAAAAATTTTATTAAAAAAATTGCATAAATGCTATTTAAATGCCACCCATAATCAATTGTGCCAGCACTCAGTATTTTAAATATTTTTCTGCAGAATAGTGAAATTTTTTTCATGGACTTACGGTTGGGAAATATCTCTAAAGTGTAGCATTTCTATTAGGACACCAAAACTGGCAATATTGATATTTGGTGCTAAATAGGTTGACAC